ATCTATCCACCATTCTTTAGGATTTCCTACCAAGTTGCATTCAGACAATATGGCACACAAGTCCTCCATGTCTTCAACATTTTCAACCATGTTTGCTTGATTTTTCTTCTTCTTTTTCTTTTGTACATCATTCTTTGATGCACGACAATCCACGACCTTATGCCCAGATTTTCCACAGATGTGGCAATTACCCTTGAACTTTTTCTTGCTTGGGTAATTCTTTGGTTCAGAAGCCTTCTTTATTCCGGAAAACTTTCCGGATTTTTCTGCTGGTGCCATAGCATGAGCAGGAGTTGAACGGCTTAACGAGGCAGCCACATTTTTAACAGTAGCACCCGTTCCCGCAACATTTCCATTAGTTTGGTTTTCATTCGTCATTTTTTCTGTAAAGTTGGAAACAAAACAGAACTTGGTTAAATCAGTGAAGTTTTGATATCTTCAAACTGAATACCAAACCAAACATACAACACGTAACAATGGTGAAGTTTTTATATACTTCAAACCCGTACGTTTATTATTCCGGTAAAGTTTTTATATACTTTAAACCGGACAGAATAATTATTGGAGTAGAAAGCACGAAGGCTTTAGTCTCCAAAACAGTATACAAAATATGAATAACAGTTTAATATATGTTTCAACACAGAAACGTTAGTTGATATTCCTTAAGTTTGTAAGCGCTACTGTGTTAAAACACAAATTCAGAAAAAAACTGTTAGAAAAATAAAAGAAACTGGAAAAACAGAAGAGTTTAAGAAATATTCCGAGTCCACAATTTGCTTGTGTGTCCTTAAGGAATTTTAACCCCCTCACACGTTGCCAAGGTAATGGATTAAATCCTCCCAGGATAAAACGGAATAAACCTTCCTGCAACAGTGGCAATAAAAACTGCAGGATACCAACGAACTTAAAGAACGGAGCAAAATCACACTTACGAATTTGAGAGAGAGAGACTGCGAATTAGAATGCAGTATATTCAGAAAGAAAGAAGTTCTGGAGTGTTTTTCGTGTATAGAAAATGGAGCCTTGCCTCAGAATTTATAGGCAATTATCAGAAGAGGTGTCTGAAAAAGGTGACTTTTCAGAAGAATACGCTGCCTGCCGCGGTTCTACCGCGGTCAGAGAGGCTTTCTGAACCTGCCTGCCGCGGTTGTACCGCGGTCGCGGCAGAACCGCGGCCAGAGAGGCCCTCTGAACCTTCAGCAAGGTTCTGGCGTATTTTCAGCAGTGATTTGGCATTTAATTAATTATTAAATCCAAATCCAAATCCAAATCCGAAGCCGAAGCCGAAGCCGAAAATGGATTAAATCCTCCCAGGATAAAACGGAATAAACCTTCCTGCAACAGTGGCAATACAAACTGCAGGATACCAACGAACTTAAAGAACGGAGCAAAATCACACTTACGAACTTGAGAGAGAGAGACTGCGAATTAGAATGCAGTATATTCAGAAAGAAAGAAGTTCTGGAGTGTTTTTCGTGTATAGAAAATGGAGCCTTGCCTCAGAATTTATAGGCAATTATCAGAAGAGGTGTCTGGAAAAGGTGACTTTTCAGAAGAATACGCTGCCTGCCGCGGTTCTACCGCGGTCAGAGAGGCTTTCTGAACCTGCCTGCCGCGGTTCTACCGCGGTCGCGGCAGAACCGCGGCCAGAGAGGCCCTCTGAACCTTCAGCAAGGTTCTGGCGTATTTTGCCGAAGCCGAAGCCGAAGCCGAAGCCGAGCGAGCGACGACGACGGCGCGAGGGTTCATTCTCTTCAACTCCTTTTAAGAGCTTTAAGAAGTGATTCTATATATAAGCACACAAATGTGGTTGTCCCTCACCAATGAGGGACAAAGTGCAAGACAAAAGTTCACTTCTTCAAAGTTTTAATTTCCCTCCATTTCCAATTCACACTTCTTCTACTTTAAAGCCCAATGGCTTAAAGTCTAACATTGCTGAAATCCCAAGAGTTCAAAGAATTGAAAGGGTCTTGTAATGAATCTTTTATTGATTTCAAGCAAAGAATATTGCTGGCAAGAAAGAAAGAACTTGTTCTGAAATTTGAAAACTCCATGAATTTTAGTGACATCCTGCTAAATCTTGAATGAAAAAGGTGATATTAGCACTGAAAATCTCTCTGGAGAATGATTTATACTTAAAATTTTATACTTAATGATACAATGGGGTCAAACTATTCAGGTCAAGCAGTTAACTTCGTTGTAGTTTACTGAAGCAACAAAAGTCTACAGTTTGTCTTTATTCATATTATTCTTGACTTCATAGTTTGATGTTTCAGAGCAAAGTTTCAAACATGTGGGAATTGGGATAAGTGAATATGGAAATGGCACTCTTGGTTTTGGGGATTATAAAAGTATTTTTTCAATGGAACAGCAAAGTTTACCTAATTTAATAGAAAAAGGTTTGATTCTGTCGGAAAAATATTTTGACTTGGTCAGTCCATATCTTTTTTTTTTTTTTTTTGGTTCAAAAGACTACTTCTATTAATTAAAGATGCGTTACAGGGAACTGCATTTGTGCAGCAGAATTACAAACATATGGAACTTGACTACTAGTAGTACTATATATCCTATTTAATTTACTAATACAATTGGTCCGACTAGACGAAGCATTATCGGACGTTAAACAAAAGGATTTGGAGTATGCTTGCACTGGAAAGTGACTACTACTATGTCTGCTTCGTAGATAACCCAGTTTGTCAGCTTCTACGTTTGCCATAACAAAAAGTGGTGGTTGCTCCAAAAAGGTGATATTATTCCCCATAAGTTTCATTCCAAAATGAGCTAGCTGGTCTGCTATTGGATTTTGCTCTCTGTAACCATGTTTCTGTTAAGTGCTGTCTTGATTTTTTTACCATATTTGATTTTACTATCTGTTGAAGGAAAGGGCAACATAGTTACCATAATTGGGTTTTCCTTCTTGTAGAAGGAAATTATAAATCTCTCATATTTGGCTAGTCCCTTTTCTTGTAGGAAAAGGTTTGGAGTTCAATAAATTAAAGATCTGTCCTTCTCATTCAGTAGCATCCACAATGTAATCATAGGGGGCTAAAGAGTAGTGTTTAGGGGGAGAACTTTACGGGACAAGTGTTAGTGTGTCATTTGTATTTGCCTCTTCGTGAGGTTGTTCTCTCGATTTATGTACTCTCTTTTTATTTAGTGGATTGCTCATCTCCGTCGTGGATATAGGTCAGTTGACCGAACCACGTTATATGTTTGTGTCTCTTTTGGTATATTTCTCTTTTGTTGTCTGATTTATCGTTGTTGAGGGTTTGCTTTACTAGCTTCCGCATGACACCTGATTTTTTCGGTCCTAACAAGTGGTATCAGAGCGAGGTTCAAGACAGGTTCATCTTGGCGGGTTCAGTTCTAGCCGCAACATATTTAACGATAATCATAATTTTTATCTGAAAAATTTGACCGGTGTGCTACGCACGTTGAGACAAACTTTGTAGTGGAGATTTGGAGATGCGACCTGCTGAAGGCTATGTGAAGAAGGTGGATCAAGTTTATTTTGTAAGAAAATTCAGGCCAAGGGGGAGAATTGTAGGTGTTGTCCTGATTTTCTTACCATATTTGGTTTTCCTATCTATTGAAGGAAAGGGCAACATATTTACCATAATTGGGTTTTCCTTCTTGTAGAAGGAAATTATAAATCTCCCATATTTGGCTAGTCCCTTTTCTTGTAGGAAAAGGTTTGGAGTTCTATAAATTGAAGATATGTCCTTCTCATTCAGTAGCATCCACAATGTAGCCACAGGGGGCTTGAGAATAGTGTTTAGGGGAAGAACTTTACGGGACAAGTGTTAGTGTGTCACTTGTGTTTGCCTCTTCGTGAGGTTGTTCTCTTGATTCTGTACTCTCTTTTTATATAGTGGATTGCTCTTCTCCGTCATGGATGTAGGTCAGTTGACCGAACCACGTTATATGTTTGTGTCTCTTTTGGTATATTTCTTTTTGTTGTCGGACTTATCGTCGCTCAATGTTTGCTTGTGAGCTTCCACATAACACCTTATTATTTTTTGGTCCTAACAGTTTCACTAGTGGATCACCCAGCTGGTGCATCAAGTATCTGCAATCATTAAGCACATGTGAGAAATTGTTAGAGGGGCTATGTAGCATGGTAACTACCTCCGCAACGTCCATATTGATTTTCAATGGTGTAAGCTTATGAACTAAGAGCCCGTTTGGATTGGCTTAAAAAAAAGTGGCTTTTAAGCATAAGTGCTTAAAAGCAATTTTTAAGTGTTAGGCCTTGTTTTATAAATAAGCAGTTAAGTGTTTGGATAAAAGTGCTAAAGCTGAAAAAAAATTGTTAGAAGTGTTTGGTAAATAAGTGTTGGTAACCTTCTTTGCAGTATACGGAAGCAACTTTGGAAAAGACTTCAATTTTGTCTTTATTTATTGATGATTTTTTTTACTTCAACTCGCTTAAATAACACTAGGAGAGTATCTGAGACAAGGAAAATTGTAAATCAAACAAATCGCAATGACTTTAATTAGTACAGAATTAATGATTCAATGTAGTAAGCATCTATATGAATAATGCCCCCTTAAGTACATTATTCAGCTTGTTTACATGAGAACTTATTTACACATTGGACAAAAGAAGATGGTTTCTTCGAAAGTCCATCGGTCCACAAGCATTTGTTGTTATTGATCATCTTTAGATTGAGACAGCAGAGGAATCAGGGGTTGAAATTGTATTTGGACATCATGGTTATGGTCTGAAAAGAGATATATACATTTGATAGAATTGTAAATATGCAATTATATTAGATTGTCTACAGGTTTATGTTTCATACTTTTTCAATTTTGAATCACAACCAGAACTGACCTGATAACAACTGGTTTCAGCAATATACTCTAGGTGATTGCCTATACCAAATTGTGGGCATCTTCAGTTAGTTCTCAACTATTCGAAAGTAACAATTCAGCCCAGAATCCAATATTAGAAGGATGATATTCTGAAAATCTGCTAGACGACAGTTTCAAAAGACGACTCTCAGAAAAATACATGGTATAAAATTTTAACAAAGTTAATGCAGGATCAGTCTTCTATTCTTTTAGAAACTACAAATGCAATCCATATGGTTTTCCAATATTGGTAAGTATCTACAGATTCTTAGAAATTACAATTGCAAGAAGCTATTAATATACAGACTGGCCTTCATGGTTTAATTTAGTGTGCTCCTACTTTGTCTCCTCAGCACTAGTCATATAGACTTGACATGTCAGTTGATAAGGGTATCTCTCGTACCCAGTCTGTTCGGCCCTGAGAAATTGTCCTCAGTGTGTCATACACTTCCAACATTGTTGGCCTTTCATTAGGAAAGAACTTCACACAGTTGCAAGCTAATTCAAGAAATTGGAGGATTAAATCGTCGACTCCTTTTCCAAGCAAGTTTCTGTCTGCATCAAGTAGACAAGGCGAATGATCAAATAGATTTCTCGAGCTGGTCAGTTCATGTGGTTCCTTCCCTGTTACCAGCTCGAGAAGCACAACACCGAAGCAGTAGATGTCTTGCTTGTAAGAACCTAAACCTGAATATTCAGCTACTGGAAAAAGACTCCAACTTAATGCAGTCTCATTCTTACTCCAAAATTTTGCTTCCCAAAAATTGGATATTTTAGGTTCAAAATTTTGATCTAGCAAGATACATCGTGTGCTTATGCTTCCGTGTGTAACGTGTAATTCGTACCCATGATGAAGCCAAGCCAGACCTTTTGCTATCCCAAGTGCAAGTTTAACTCTCAGTGGGAAATCCAAAATCTCAACCTTATCTCCCGTCGAGTGCAGCCATTCATGAAGGCTTCCATTAGGCATATATTTGTAAACAAGAAGTTTTTTTTCATTTTCAGTACAGAAACCTATAAGAGGCAATAGGTTCCGATGTCTCAGGCCACCGAGAGTTGTTATCTCAGAGACAAACTCGTCCTCCAAATTCTCCCATTCATTGAGCTTCTTGATGGCAAGTGTCCATCCATTTGGTAGAATTGCTTTGTACACTTTGCCCAACATTCCATTTCCTACTAAATAATTTTCACTAAAACCAGAAGTCGCTTTTTCCAGCTCCGCAAAACTCATTCTAGTGACAAACTTCTCCAGCCTTAATATCTGTAAAGCAGCTAGTTAAATCATTGGAACATACAGAATAGAACAGAACATAGAAAAACTTACTGCTATCACATTTGTTCATTGAATAAAGAATTTATACGCGGATTTGAGACAAGTGATCACAAACTAGAAGTAAATGCAACTTAACTAATGCAGGGAAAAAGCTGGAAATGTAGCAGGATCTTTACCTTCTGGTTGCTGCTTAAGTCCTCTTCACCTGGCGAATCGCTTCCTGAAGTTAAATGTTCCTTTACCCTCAGTTTCCATTTGTTGAATGAGACTATCTTGTTGATAACCTTGCTTGGAAACTGAAATAAGTGAAGGACTAAACCCAACGTAAAGAAAAGTACCCAACCAACCACAAACGCTTTAATGAACGAAGCACGATCGATATGTTTCCATATCCAAGAATCCTCACATCCTTTCAAGGGCTTCCCACAAAGCTCTGGATTATTTTCAAAACTCTTAGCTGTGATTTGTGCATTAACAAACAATGGCACTGCCCCAGTCAAGTAATTGTTGGCTACACTGAATGTCTGAAGACGAAGTAAAGAGCCTATTATACTTGGAATTTCACCTTCTAGATTATTATTATCTAACCTCAGAACGTTAAGGTAAGTACAATTAGCTATATCAGGTGGTATATTGCCAGAAAATGTGTTATTTGATAAATCAAGTGTTATCAAATAATAAACTATCACTGAAATATCAGAAGGGATATTTCCATACAACTTGTTGCCTGAAAGATCTAAACTAGTCAAACTTGTACAATTTCGAACGCCTCGAGGAAACTCACCTATTAATCCATAGTTTGAAAGTGTGATGCTCAATACCTTATTCTCATTAACATGCCAACAATTAATTCCTGAAAATCTGCAGATGATACCTTCTGTAGCATTACTGAAATCCCAACTGCCCAAGTTATTGAAAGGGTCTTGTAAAGAATCTTTTATTGATTTCAAGCAATAAAAATCACTTTCTGCAGCACTACAGACATAAATTCTGCTAAGTAATATCAACAGAAAGGCAAGAAATGTCCAGATGAAAAAGAATGAATTGGATTTCTCCATGTATTTTGAGATACCTATTGCTAAATCTTGAATAAAGAGGAGGAAATATCAGCACTGAAAACCTATCTGAAGAAGGATTTACTTCAATTTTAACACTTAAGGATGCAAAGTGGTAGGGTCAAACTAGTCAGGCAAAGCAGTCAACTTCCTTGCAGTTTACTAAAGCAACTTGGAAAAAGCTTCAATTTTGTCTTTATTTATTGATGATTGTTGACTTTTAAGGTTTGATGTTCTCAGCGTAAAGGTTTCAAACATGTGGAAGTTGGGATATTTTCTAATCAAATTAAAATTGAAGCAGTGTTTTAAAAGGCGTGGGCGTAAGGCGAGGCGTTTTACATATGCCTTGGCGAGGCGTAAGCCCCGAGGCACGGGGCATAAGCCCCATAGGTATTTAATTTTTAATATTTTATAAAATAATATAATTACAGTAAATATTTATAAACTGGTAAAATTGCATAAAAAATAAGGAAAACTATAAATATGTGAAATATATATATATATATATATGTGTGTGTGTGTGTGTGTGTGCGCGCGCGCGTGCGCGCGCTTCATCCCCATAAAAAATTAGTCAAAACGATCTATTATGCGCTACTTAGAAGCTCAAGTAACTTGAGTCGAAAAGAATAAAGTTTTCTACTCGAAGGAACAAAAAGGATGATTATCCTGCAATTTGAACTTTGAACTTGCTGCTATGAAGGAGAATGGAGTTCTCTTTGTATTTGTAAAAAAAAATGAATATTCGTTGCTTTTGGAAGATATTAGCAGACTAGTGGACAAGATAAAGAATTGGGAAAGACCATGAATTGGGGCTTCAATCAATAAAAAAAGGTCTTAACTTTTAAATTTAATGCATTTGAGTTTTTTTTAAAACTTTTGAGTAATTACCAAGCTGAATTTTGAGAATTTGGGTATTATATGAAGGACTTATTCAACAAATTTTGTTTTAATTTGAAAAAATCTTTGGGGCTTACACCTCACTAAAAAAATGCGCCCCGAACGCCCGGGCGTACGCCCTGAATTGCTGGGCGTACGCCTCTTGAGACTTTCGCCCCACACCATCGTCCCGGGACGTTTTTGGTGCGCCTCGCACCAGGGCTCGCCCCAAAAACGCCTTTTAAAACACTGAATTGAAATGGCACTATTGGGGGATTTTAAAGCAAATTAAAGAATTCACTAAAGAAGAATGAACATTGAGTTTTTTTTTTTTTTTGGTTGGAAAGGAAATATTGTTATAGTTAATATGAGTCATAACAAAAGGTAGTACAATTACCATAGGCCTAGCATCTTAGTAAACTATCCCAAATTATTGAGTGTGTTGACTGCTTCATCCTTCAAAATGAATGGCCACAACTCAATATCAAATGTGTTCCTTTCAGTGGAGTTAAGGAGTTTTGACTTTTCCTTAACTCAATAGCCAAAAACTGAATTTGTCCTAATTTATGTAACAAAGTGATCAAGCCCTGCCCCACCCTTCCTTGTTTAGACTCTTTTATTTTTTTCTCTTTATTTTGTATTTTGCGGTATGCTTTTAATTTCTTTTATCTTTTCAATTTTCTATTTAAAGACCGAAAGAGATATATAAGTTTATAAATAGGGATGTAAATGGGGCGGAGGCAGGGCAAGTCTTGACCCGCTAAAATTTTGACCCGCCCTGCCTTGTTTAGACTTTTTTTTAAATTTTTTCTCTTTATTTTGTATTTTGCAGTATGCTTTTAATTTCTTTTATCTTTTCAACTTTCTATTTAAAGAACGAAAAACTCCAAGATTTGCCAGCTAGGGGATATGAGGTGGTAATTAAAAAACTTCACTCTCCAAAGTCAAGCATAATTATCTTAGCAAGTCTCAAAATTCCAATAGCACCTAATCATGCATCTTTAAGAGAGCCAAGTGAATATAGATATAAAGTACGCGGAATTAATTAACTTAGGGAGGGCAGCTGTTCTAATCATTGGACCAACCCAGATACTAACCCAAATCTTGCTGCCCCATTCTAATTTTTCAAAAATTAGATTTTGCCCTGCCCTACCCTACCCTACCCTGCCCCGCCCCATTTAAATGTCCCCCCTGCTCCGCCCTTCCCCGCCCCAATTGCCAAGACTTCTTATGATACTTGTAACAAGACATATTATCGCGGAATTAACAATCCTACTTAGTACTCATATAGCAAACTGAACTTTTTTTTTCTTTCAAAATTTACACCTTTGTACTGAAGGATCAACAAAGTAGATGAGGAATAAGAACCTGCAAGCTGACTGAAGCATTGGCATTGAGTCGAATGCCTTGGTGAGAAATCGGAGAAGAGAGCTCCGTTACGATTTTGCCCTCCACTGCATCCTGCAATTGCAGCTTATTTCGTTAACAATAAGTGAGGGGCCGTAAATACTTACTTTTCTTTACGATAATTTGCACAATTTCGTGTACATTAGGGCGATAGATGCGGTTGGATCGGGAAAATTTGATCTCTACTGACACGACGACAAAAAACGTCGACGAGGAACAAAGCTGCTGAGAGCAAAAAATCCCCGGGACTTGTCACCGGATTTGTCGCCGGTGTTGGTCTGTAAAAAGCCAAAAACCCGCCACAATGTTAGGCTTCATCTCAACAAACACATTTCAAATTTCAAGTTGTAGTAGATTTAGTGGGCGTTTGGACATAAGAAATGTAAAATTCTAAAAAAATTCCAAGTGAGTTGGGTTTGGCATGAATATAATTTTCGGTTGTTTTTGAATTTTTGTGAGGGATATGAACGAAAATTTTAAAAAATAATTTTTTGGAGTATTTCAAATTTTCGAAAAATTCCAAAATTCATCTTTAAGTGAAAATTAAAAATTTTATGGCCAAACAATAATTTTTAAAAAAACTTGAATTTTTTTTATGTCCAAACAGGCTCTTATAAATCGCATTCGGAAGTGCATATATAAGTCTTATTTCAAATTTGTGATATATAAAATTGGGGTTCAATTTTATATAATAGATTTATAAGTCGCATTTCAAAATCGTGACTTATAAGTCGCAATTTAAATGCGGTTCAATATCATTTACGGCCACATTATAATGTTGTGACATATTCGACTTATAAATGCGATTATAAGTCGCAGTTTGAAAATGCGATTTGTAAGTTATATTTTGCTTTGAAAATTTAATTTTTGTGTTGCATTTATAAGTGCTACTAAAATAATGCCTATAGTTTTACAAGGCAATTTATGTGTAGCATTTAGATCTTTTTTATTTGAAATTTAACTTTAAAACAATTTGATTCAATTTCTTGTCTGATTTTATTTTTAAATTTTTCTTGGACATTCGTAGTTGCAAACTCCTTATCTTCCCACATCGAATTCTGAAATTACTAAATGCTAGTACTTTTTTTCTTAGACTTTATATCCACTATCTTAAACTTTCATCCCACTTCAACTTTGTTTATTCGTATTTAATATTTTTCCTTTAAAAAAATTATTTATTGATCATTTCCCGTTTTCCGCATGCAACTCTAGACGATGAAAGCTCGTAACAGTATAATTAAACCTTCAGAGCAGTTTTCACTCTTTCTAATAGCATATTTATATTTATTCTTAAGATATTGAACATTATGATCTTTGAGTTCCTTTTTTTACCTCAAATATTTTTTGTACATCGGATTGTTTACTTCGAAAAATGTGAGTAACAATTAAATATGATTTGTGGTTTTAAAGATATGTGATTTATTTCAATACTAGTGAGTGTACAAATAATATTAAATTTAAGTAAGAAAAAATGATGAACCAAACCAGTGTTGTTAGAACAATAAGACATCGAGATCGATTATCTTAGGGGCCTCGAGGTGAGCTTAGAGCAATAAAGGATGGACAATAAAGTAAAGACAATAAAGTTGAAGAACAAATGTTGAGCACGGTAAACGAGAAAAGTAGAGTAGAATGTTCTATTGCAGTGAATGAGATTCTTTACAAATGATTAGGGTTCCCTTTATATAGGAGGAGAAAACCCCAATATAGTACATTCCTAATCGTGGTAAAGAATTTTATTGGTACAGGTGTACTATAACAACCTAGTACGAACCTGTACTATTTCGTACAAATATTATCCTTCAATTTATGCTCTGATCCACGTGTCCTTGAGAAATTCTCACTCTTTCTTGAGTGCCTTCGAGATTGTACTGATAACGACGTAGGTCGTGTCTGGCCTTCGATCTGCTCCCTCGAGATGTGTGTCCTTCAGCTGGGTCCGACCCCCACTTCGAGTCGCCCAGACTCGAACTCATAGCCCCAATTCAAGACTTCGAAGTTGGGCTACTCGATCCAACCGTGTACACAGATATTAACTGATTACCATTTCAAGTAATTCAAATGAAAAAATTGGATAATGTTATAAAACAATAAAAGAAGAAGAAGAGTATTGCAAAGAAAAGTAGGGAGAGAAAATTCTTATTGCTTTTGGGATGAATTACAATGGAATAGAACCCTCTATTTATAGGGAAAGGGTGACTTAGCCACCAAGTAATAAACTCTAGAATCTCTCTAAATATAGATATTCACCATAAATAAAATTCTATTTATAACACTCCCCCTTGAATGTCTATTCAACAGATAATGTGTCTCGTTAAAACCTTAACATAAATAAAACCCAGCGGGAAAAAATTCTAGAGAAGGAAAAAGAGTACACATATCTAATAATACGCCTTTTGGTTGCCTCGTTAAAAACCTTGCAAGGAAAACCCAGTGGGACAAAACCTTGTAAGGGAAAAAGAGTACAACGCGTATTAATTCCCCCTCATGAGAGCATCACTTCACATCCTTAAGCATTTGCATTCCAATCTTGTGTACCATCTTCAAAAGATCTTTGGTAGATATTTGATAAACAAATCAGCCATATTAACTTGAATGAATATATTGCACCTTGAAATCATCATTCTTGATAGATATGGATTGTCTTCATATGATCTTGTTGGAATCGTCAGTTCAATATCTTCACATAGAGGTGAAAACTCTTGGTGTCATATTATCATGCCTATAGTTATAGCAAGATACATTTGTGCACAAATTGCACTGAGTAAGTAGTACTTCAAGATCAAGAATTGTATATGCTTCAAGCAATTTAATTCCTTCAAGGATTGTCATATAAGTCATATAATAGACTTTAGATGCATATCAAGTTTTCATGTCATGCTAGACAAATAAGATATCGAAAACTGATTGCACATACCATTGACTTTATACTTTCAAGTGTTTGAACTACATGTTCAAAACTACACGTCTTTCATATGAAACCAATTATATTCGAATTGTTTCTTCAGACTTAAGATCCTCATATCTATATTTAGCGGTATCATAGA